AATTGTATAAATTGTAAATTTTATTACTTAGTAAATATAGAACAAAAAAAAAATTAATATTATTTATACCGCCTTGTTGATGTTTTAACGTTTATCGTATGGTCTTAAGCACATACAGTGGCTTTTGTTTTTAGATTTTACTGTTGCTATTTTTATTTATAAGTAAATACACACCCACATACATACGTTCAACTTAATTCTATTAATTTACCAATTTTTATAACTTGAATAATTTAATATTAATTAATTCTAGTGCTGGATTAATGAATATCGCGCAAAAACATTTGGAGGCTGCATGCGGCCTCGAGACCGCACATTCCATATGTTTTGTATAATTTCATTACCAACAACACCACCACTGTTTTTCTAGTAGTATTTTCAGTTTTCCTATTTTTTATCTTCGTTTTTACTTAATAAGCGAAGGTCGCTGTCACCGATCACCGATTTCAATGGATTTTTATTTTATGGCACTAGCTCTATTAGATCAATCCAGATGTATTAGAAATTCCTAAAAACCAAGAGACGCTTGCAGGAAAGTTAGTCAGATTTTTATCACAAAAAAACAAATCAGCTTGGTATATTAGTCATTTTCTAATTTTGTCTAGGGTATCTTATAATATGATTTTTTTATAAATTAAAAAGTATATAAAAAATATAATTGAATTTATGCAATATCATTTTTTTTACATGTCTTTCAATAATCATACATACTTAATTCCTAAAGAATTTCTGCTCATTCAGCGTCCCATCAACCGTTGCTAACTAAGTTGAATTCTCGCTTTTCATATCCATATCTATAACTTTTAGATTTTATGGCTTCATAAGGAATGAGAACTGACAAACTCATCAAATAGTTTTGTTTTATATCTTCAGTTCTAAACCCTTTGCGAGAATCTAGTTTCTATGTTACTATAATTTCTGCTATGTTTCGTATGTAAGTGGTGATAAGTGGTCTGTATAGTATGATATGATAAGTGATTAGCCTAAAAAAGGATGAAAAATAAGTTAAAGTCATGCTGAAATAATCAGCATTGTTCCAGTTTCTTATACATTCGAATTGATTTAATATAATCGGCATTTTTATTTTATTTTACACACAAAAAAAAGTTGGTATAGTTGGGGAACCTGTTTATTAGAGGCCGCATTATTAAGAAATACACAGACCCATGTTCATACATTCAACTTAATTCTATTAATTTTATAATTAAATATTATAATTAATTAATTAAATATTAATTAATTCTAGGGCTAGATTAATGAAGATATCACCAAAGTTTAGATGCTGCAAGTAGCTCACGGAGACCACATGCGGGCCCGGGGCCGCATGTTCCCTTTACTAAGGTAAACTAGTGTTAAAATTAAATTAAATATTTTTTCTTGGCTCCAACGGGGCATTGGCGAAAACCCCCAGATATATTTCTAAAATTTTTCCGCTTAGTATAACCAAAAAAAGTTTCATTAAAATCGAAATACGGTGATTCCACGACCATAATATTCTCTTGTAAGCTGTAATTTCAATACTATTAGAAAATTGATTGTGAATTTATTTTTATGTTATATCCAACTATTTTATTTTAGCAATTAGTGACTAATTTTAAACCTCCGCCTATGATTCCGTTGACAACTAAACTTTATTTCAAATGGTTTTATTATTTTATAACGAGATTCCAAATATTGTAATCCATAGACATCTCTTGTTTCAGCAGGAGCTTATTATCGTTATTTGCGCTCGTTATTTTTTCCTTTGTGTTATTTTCTATTCACTTAATGAGGCCTGTGCTTTATCTTTACATCCTTAGGATTTTCCTTATTCTAATGTTTCTTGAAATATGTTTTTCTTCCAGGATCAGGATTCTTGTTTTTTTTTACTACCCCAGGACTGTTGTTCTTGAATTTATATTTAATTTTTTTTTTAATAATAAATATTGATAATTGATTATTATACATGCCTGAATGAAATCATACAGAATTAATTACATAACATATTATGTAATTAAAAATTTATGACATTGTAAACATAATTAGTTTATAAAAAAATTGGTGCGGTGGCGCCATTTCATATAAAGGGACGCCAAAGTGACTTTGGCTTTTTTGTTTAATTTCATTTAAAACAATTATTACCATATTTTCCTCGCTCATTGTATATGTTAAATTTACGTGCTTGCATCACTTACCATATTCTATTACGACAGTGTATAGTATAAAATATTACTAATGATTGTGGGGAAAAATGGATCTTCTCGACAAATTTTGAGTTTTATCGGTAACATTTATTATGAAAATCGTCAACAAAATAACTTAACGTTAGTAAATATCGTATATTATTGGATTTATATTAGTAGACCCTCAACATTTCGCGTTAAAACTTTTGTAAAAAATTAAGGTTGTTATACATAAAAAATAAATTAACAATATGAAAGCCCTGTACAGAGGATTATCAGTATTTTTGCGCTAGGCTGATCACATACATACACAGACCATTTTGCGGGACTTGATTATTTGGACTCAGGGGACCTTAAAACATGTATGACATTTCCGTTGAAAACTCAGATTCAAAAATTTTCACAATCGCATTATTTTTCCTTAGTATATATTACATATATGGAGAGTAAGAGAAAGTAATATTTTTTTTTTTTCAATCGTTATAAGCCATGTATTAAAAAAAAAAAAGTAAATCTACCTTTACCCTACTGCCTTTGTTGATTTTAACTTTAGTCTCATTTAATTTCAACTTATTTATTTTTTAAATATATCTCCTTTCTAAACTCGTAATTGGTTAGACAGATTCAAGACTTTCAAATGAATTTTAATGAAACGAATTGAGTAGTGTTGGTGAAATATACGAATTTAAAATTCTTCACATAATTGTTGGCATAAAAGCTTAGAATTCAGAATAACCTACACCATATTACATGGCAATTGAAAGTTTTTAAAATATAAATTTTATTTTGAGATAAAAACGATTGGATGAGTCAACGAAAAATTCTGGTAAAACTTTTTTTTTTTTTTAATTTCTCGTTCGAATCTAATAAAACATATTTTAAACTATGTTATCTTCATAAAAAGAAAAAAGCATCTTCAGTTGAATTAAGATTGACCGCAGTTATCTTAATATTATTTTTTGAGGTTTCCTGTCTTTGTATGCAGGTATTATTCGAAATGAAATGTCTGATAGAGCAGCAAGAGGAGCTCTTACCCTTCCGCGGTAAAGCTGTCTTTACTGCTTCCGTACTGGCGCGACCACTGAAAGAGGCCATACACCAAGAGTAACACACAATGCGGGACTACAGGGCTACCAATAAACTGAAGACCGTAAAGAATAAAGTGATATCATGGTGCAGCTCTTGTCCCAGTAGTAGTTGTAGGAGGTTTACGCACTATCACTTAATAACTAAAGAAAACCCGCCTATGTAAGAATTATAATAAGTGAATGACTATAACCCACGTTTTTGAGAGTTGCAGTTTCTACAGAAGAAAACTTTGGAAAATATGGAAAAAAAATATCGTGAACATTGGTACTATATTTTCTCTATGAAGAAATTTTCTCAATAAGGCACTATTGATACTATTCTATCTCCATCTTCCTTCTATCCATATATATACATTAACCCTTCCATTTAATATTTTTATTTATATATTTTATTTTTATAATCATGTATTTTCTTACTAAAAATTATGAAATATATATTAATAATGTATAAACGTAAACATAGAAAGGCATTGATCACGATATAGATTTACGCTTTTATTTCATATCAACTAACGAAACAATATTATTGGGCTCTCGTGAACAATCATTTAATCTTAGGAGCACGAAATAGTTTTAAAAATTAACGAAAGCTTAAACGGGTCTGATATTAAAAAAAATATTTTTATTTTAAATTCAAGTCCTAAGAAACATTTAAATTAAATATTAGTTTTTTTTTATAAACTTAATTTTTCAACGCACACCTGTCAGAAGTTCCGACAGTCAGCGAGTGTGATGTCGAGATGTAGAAGATTAATAGGTCTTGGAATAGGCGTGAAGAAGAGGAGTGCCCAGCGGCGTCCTTTCTGTCTTTAATTTAATATTTATAGTTAGTAGAGGAGTGTTTTAGGTTGAGCCGTCAGATCTCCTATGTGTAACGCTCGGGCAAAGCCGGCTAGAGTCGACTAATTGAAGAAGTTTTGTATATGGATTAAAATATCTCAAAATCTAAAAAAACTGTATGTTGTTAGCGAGGGAAATGTTTATCATTTCATTTTCTTTGTAATGCGCTGTTATTTAAAATTGTATCTTAACGCGACGCCGTGTTAGAGAGGCGAAAAGAGGAAAAATATTGTCGAAAACCAAATGAAAACGAGTTTTATTGAATATATATATTAAAATATCTCAGATACTAAAAATCGGAACGACATACTGTAAGCAGGGGAAATGTTCATCATTTCATCTTCTTTAGATTGAGCTATTATTTATAATTTATATTTCATATTATTAATCTCACCATGTTGATGATATATTCACTTATATCGTGTTGTCTAAGGCACACACCTTAGTTTTTTTTAAGAATCGTTAACAATAATTAAGAACGCTTAAGCAAACCCTCTTATATATATATATATCAAATATAGCTTCAAAAGCTCATTCTGATTTCTCGAAGGAAAAATTCATTAACGCTCTTAGTGAAATATATTTTTTTCTTTTTTTCTATTCACATATAACTTTTCGTTCTCTGGTTGTTCTTAGCAGCTAAGCACGATAACTTCATCCCGCTTAAATCTCTGATCAGTATTTCTCTTTTAAATACTCCATCCAAAATCTTTTTTTTTATTGTAAAGTATAAGTATGAATTTCTTATATTAGGAATAATTATTATTAGTTTTCAAGCTTTAATTTATTCTTTTTTTTTTTCGACCGTTGTCTCAATTTCAAGTCAAATGTTATTCAAAACATAATTTTCCCAACGCTATGGTTACAGAGATGCAACGTTGGATGAATTCCTACCCAAAATCAACATTTGTTAGAGTGTTCCATTTGGTATTGACCTGGATAGCGGTCCCTGTATCGCTAAGGTATTTATGAACCCAATAATTTCCATTTTGGGGGACTCCAAATGTCCCGCTACCTACTGGTGAAAATTAACAATTGAAAGGTAAATAGGGTAACTAGAACAAGATTGTATATACATCTGGTGCATTTTGCGACCTGGTTCTACATATTGGTCGTAACCCGGTTCATGAAATTAACCTTTAGATATCCACAACAAATTAATAATAAAAGAATTCCGTCAAGATAGATTTTGAACTATAGAAAATCTTAATAACGATTCCCTTTACATCAAAAATATTTACTCATTATTTATATATTTATTTAAATATCACAAATTTTCAGTTTTGTTAACTGAAACGTAAAACTTTTTTTTTTTTCTATAACCCCTACTTCTGTTATTTTGATTTTGGAATGAAAATAATAATATATCTGGAAAAATATTGATTGTTAAACATGTTTTGCTTTAAACATTTTTCATTTAAAGGATTTTTCTATCAACTGTCAAAAATATTTTATTTTTATTATTACATTATTTTCACGATCCACATTAAAATTGTTTATAAGTCAGCAAACTTTGTAAATTGGCCTTTTGAGAACCTTTATTAATGCTGTAAAACAATTTTGAAGAATCATGTATATGGTTAGCAAATATTGTGTGTGATATATATTATTCTGGTAATAAAAATCATTCTGGTAATTTAGCCATATATAAGTTCAGTCACGCATGCTTACATAATATAAAATTTAAACTGCACTTTCTCTAATGTTTTAAACAAAAAAAAAAATTAAACATTTATTTTTTTTTAATCGAGAATAGATACATGTAAGTGTTTCAATTAGAAGATTTATTTTTTTTCTTAATTTATTTTTCTCTTTATTGCCTTAATAATTTTGGAGCATTATCTAACTTTTATTTTTTATTTTTGGCTTCAAAACATTTACTTTCAATTTTCAACCTAATGAAAATACGATAAATAATGACGTATCAGGCATGGGGAACGACAGTATTCAGCAGCACCTCTTAACTAATTTGTTTCAATAACTTAGGTTGTTTAAGGAAGATCTCTCATCCAACGCCTTTTTAGTCTTATTCTCATATTCATCGTTCATCGTCCGTTTAAATTTGTACAAAATCTTTGGTAATTTTTTTAACTTAAAATAGTTACCTGTCGGTGTTTTAATTAGAATATTTATTTGATTTTTTATGCGTTATTTCCTATTTAATTATTATTTTTAATATCTTTCTGATATATTTTATTATAAGACCTTAGTTATTGCAGGTTATTCGATATTTTAACGACATTTGATAATGTCCTCATATTGAATTTTATATTCTCCAAGTCAATTTCCCTCTGAAACAACTGCGCATAACGGATCACCGTTACAAGTAATGGAATGCCACTAGGAGATTGTCATCAAGGAAATTGAAACGGTGTGGTCTAAGGGTTGGGTTTCAGAGGTCACCTATGCTGGTGGCTCAGACCAAGCTTTATTACTCTTGGTTATTAGCTGTCTTAGTGCGGCTAGAGAAAATAGGCAGGAACTGTGAATTCTCGTTGATAGACACTATTAAAACTAAAGCACCATTCCTTTGTTTATTTAACAGTAGTAAAAAATAATTTAAAAAAAAAACATAATAAAATAATAATTAAGTGAATAAAAATTAAAATATAAACTATGAAAATTTTAATGAAGATATATCTAAACTAAAACTAAAATAAGGAGTCAATGCAAATAATCTTATTCAACATTATTTTGTTCTTCTTAAACTTTACTTATTGTAATTGTCTATTGTTTTAATTGAGTTTACTGATGTATTTGTTGAGTTGAGAAATTTCTCGGTGGTAAAAAATATTTTATCCTTTCACCGATTTTATCCTTTCCTGTTACCGTTTTATCTTGCCGTACACAACTTTAAACACTAATAAAATAATTTTGGTTGGCCCATGTCTATAAGTCTAGGAGACCCTTTTTGTAGTTATTTCTTCACCATATAAAAATAACAATAATAATAATAGAAGGATCAAGAGCAATCTTAAGTTAAAGGATAAGGATTCCAAAACTTGTTGTCAGAAACGTAGAAAACAGGAGACATTAGGAAGGAGACTCGCTGACAGTATGACAGTGAGGGAAGGACAGCCATGATGAATGGGCTCTTACCAGTCATCAGTTACATAATTTTCAGGACCTCTCTAACTTCCTTCCAAATAATATATTCCCCACGTTATACCTTATTTAGTAAAATTGTAGTTATCATTACCTGTCATACGATAGCAGAATATGATTAATGTCTCAGGAATAAGCAAACGGCCATTGATTAAAACTCGTCGGTTCATAAAATATTTTTCATTCTATATTCCATTATATTATTCCATATTTTATTGTGTATATATATTTTTTATAATTTTTTTTCTGTTTATATTACAAAACTTGTTAATATTTTTCCACCTTAGCAAGTATATTCCATCTCTACTTGTCTTGGGATTTTTCTTTCCAGTTATCTGCATCTTTGTTGATTCTATGTATCTATTTTCTTTTTGGCCTTCCACGTGGTCCTTTTCCTTCTATTGAGACATTAATTTTTCCTCGAAGTGTCTTCCTGATGGATTGGTTTGAGCTACACGCACTACCCATCATAACCCATCTTTATTTGATGGGATATTGATTAAGGAGTTCTTTATTGGTCTTTCTTCTCCATGTTTTAGTACTTTGGTTAGTATCCAAGGTCTCACAGCCATATATTAAACTGGCTTTATCATATCATCTTACAATCTTAATTTGAGATTTGTTGAGATTTTTCAGGATTTCAATACCTTTGAATGGAGAAGGAAGCTCCGCGCTAGTTATGCGCTCGTCTATTTTGATCGATGGTAAATCATTGGGGTCATTGTGGAGCCACTAGCGGATCCAGGATTTAATTTTGGGGGGGAGAGCATCAGCCCGAAAGCTTTTTTTTTCATAAAAATGGCGATATTTACTTTGGAAAAAAAAGAAATAAACTAGCTATCTATATGAAATGGTGTTTAAGTGATTCCTTAAGTCATTTTAAATGTAATTACACGAACAATAATACGTTAAGAGATAATTTTTTTCTATAAAATATGGTTATATTTTACCATTTTTTGGGGTGGAGGGGGGCAGGGGGCTTCAGCCCGAAAGCTCCCCCGTAAATCCGTCGGTGTGTGGAGCTGAGGTATTTGAATTTTTTCTACTCTCGGGAATAATTCTACGCATATCCTGTTATTGTCACGTTTCGGCTTATTATCATATATTTTGTTTTCTCTTCGTTTACTTTTACGCTCTTATGAGAGGCTCTTAACGTGAAATATATATTTCTTCTATTCATCATTCCTAAAATTGGTGTCTTAAGGTTTTCTTTTTTACATAAATTAGGCATTATTCACCAACATTTCATTTATTAGCTATTAATTAGGACGTTTGGCCATACTAAGAGCCATTTTCAAGTCTTAATGAGTCCTCTATTAGATGTTCATTATTAATGTCGCATTAATTTATTCAGTGAAAAATTAAATATTCCTGCTATTTCATAGTTTCCCCTACGTCATTTCTGGAGGGACTGATCATTCTAGAAGAAACTCTAAACGAGCTATTTAATTTTTCACTGAACAAATTAATGCCAAATTAATAATGAACATCTAATGGAGGACTCATTAAGACTTGAAAATGGCCCTTAATATGGTCGAAACGTCGTAATTAATAGCTAATAAATGAAATGTTGGTGAATAATGCCCTAATTTATGTAAATAAGAAATATATATTTTAATTTATGTCAAAACGTAAAATATATTAAATTTAATATCAAAACGTAAAATATTGAATTTATATCTAAACGTAAATGATATTATTTTTTATCCTAGATATAAATCTGAATGGTATTTTCATTCTCTTTTAAGTTTATAAATAGTACTTTATCAGTTTGGCCATTAATATACATAATGAACTGTTATATTTATCGAATTGAATACAAAATGTAAATACATTTTTTCCCCAAGACTAGATCTACTTTTTCAGATTGGTCTACGCCAGTGAAACCCTGACCTAGTCCTATATATTCTCAGGTGTCAGGGGCCCTACCAACACGGTGGAAATCGATTTGTCGAGCCGCTTCACTTTAAGCGATATTGTCTTGATTTTTTTTTTTTCAAATTTATTTTCTTTAACTTATCGACCTTCTTGCATTGCCGATGGTACCATCCAACCCAAAATTTAAATAAAAATATCAACACTTTTTTAATGTTATAATTTATGTATTTAAATCTCACCATTTTCACCGTTTTCTCTCCCATTCATTTCAATATTTATTCAATGATTTGGATAAATAATAATTTGAACATCCCTTGTTTACCTTCTTATTATTTTTTTAAATTTATTATATTTTAATATTCTTTCATAATAATATTCCCTAATTATTAACATAGGTTGCCATTTCTAAGACATTTACTTTTATTTTTATTCGGGCCTATTTAGGTTATATCGTACTTGAGGCGTGCAGTTCCAAAAACAGCTAACTCCTTTTTTCAATTATTTAAGTTTTAATTGATATTTTTGGTACTGGATTATCATCATAAGGAAAAATAATTCCTGTCGAAAAACACTTAAATTACAAATTTTATAATAATTGCATTGCATGATAGATGTTTAACTATTTTGGAAGGAAATTCTTTTATCTTCATGTTGATTTAGGGCCACAAGTGCTAATTAAAAAAAAAACAAAAAATCAAAAATACATAAAGTATAGATACATAAAGTACGTATCTAAGATTGAGATTGTACTTTTTAAATAATCAATATGGGTTAATATTTAGCCAAAATAACAGAGCGTCTTGGAGTTTTGGTGGGTGCTCGGGGCGTGGTTTCATATCTACTTTATGAAATACACTAATCATTTTTTATTTTATTGATTTATTGAGTAGTACAACAATCAGTCTCTTGGACATTAGTTATAGATAGATAGATAGATAGATAGAAAGTAAACTTTATTCTAGGACAAGGTCGCTTATGAATAACAAATATGAACAAAAAATAAAAACTACATCTGGCCAAAAATTACATTAGTCAATGTTAAAGAATATATAGTATCTTCAGTAAAATTAAATTAAAACAAGTAAAAATAACACCATTTTGAAAAGAAAACATAATAAAAAAAAACATTATTTAAATGAAAAGAGAACAAAATAAAATAAACATGGGTTGATTTTTAAAATTAAAAACTCTACCAATTTTTACAACCATTCACCTCAGTCAAAATCTGTTTCGCAATATTTATTTAATTGTATATCGTCATTTTGGGATGTGAGAAGGAATTGGTAAAGATGATATTTAAATGAGGACACGTAGGTAGGATAACATTCACACTATATGTACAAAAAATATAAAATAAATATAACAAAATAATAATCAAAAGTATATACAATAAATAATAAAATAAAATAACCTAAAAATAAGAAAATTAAAACTAAGAAAAAAAGAAAACACATGCATACCTATATACAATCAGGCGAGGGAACTCCAGGAGAACCCTGCGCAACTCTCAACCGCATCACTGGTACTAAAGCCAGCGGAGATTGGTCGAGAGCACTTTAGCCACATACAATCATACCTTGATTGGAGAATCTGGCCATCTGATCAGTTAAATATATTTTATAAATACTTTTAGAAAAAGACGACAGGGTGAGAGATCAGAACGAAAAAGTATTTTTTGGATGGTAATTTTGAAGATGAAAACAGTATTCTATCTAAGCTGAAATGTATAATATATCTATCGGTATATTAGCTAAGCGCTGGCAGATTATGACGTAATAGTCTCTCCACTCTCGTGCTCTATCCCCACCACTTTTCATTAACACAAATTATCTCTCCAAATATGCATCAGATAATTTTGGAATGTTTTGTGTTTTTATTGTATTCTTATTTATTTATTGTTATTCTTATTTATTTATAAGTTTTTCTGCATTTTAAGCATATTGTATAATATATTATTTGCTGACCTCCTTGGGGGAAGAACAGAGAATAGATGGACCTAAAAGAGTCCTCCGTGACGAGCCCCGAGGGGCAGTGGGCCTTGAAGCTGCGGTAGATCCTCTTTAGCTCGGCCCTCGAGAACCTGGTGGCCCTGACCAGCGCCTCCAGGGAGTCCGGACGCGCCCTAGCTGATGGCCAGTCACCTTCCTCCCACTCCGAGTCTGAAATATTTAAATACATAATTAATACATTTATATATTTCCATAAACCGTGGAATGCAGTGACAATTTTACATCTAGGATGACTAAGGTCTAATGTTTATTGGTTGATTGTTGTATAGTAAAGGCGTAAAATCTGTTGTTTATCAACGCCGTTAATTAAGATTATATATAATTATATCTTCTGGTTGTGAATAATAGGAATAAAATACAATTGAAAACTTATAAAATGCAAGTTAAGTTATTCAGGGTTACTATAGTTTAGTTATTTTATTATAGTTAAAGGTTCAGAGATTTTTAAAGATTCCTTCTTTAAGAATAGTGTTGCCCGAATGCGAGACCAAGACGAATCTTGGTCTTGCAATCTCAGTCTTGGTCTTGCGCAAGAGTCTCTTAAAAGTCTTGCAATTACTTATTAGCTTATTACTATAGAGATTTTAGTGTCATTTTTTACATAATAGAAACCTTACTAAGCACGGATGAAAAATTAGAGAAGTTAAATGCAAAAGTATATTGGTTATACCAATTATTTACAAAGTATTGCAAAGTGCAAGACCAAGACCGCTTTTTGGCACCACTATTTAAGAAAACACATGATTATGCTCAAGATTTTTTTTATCATTTCCAAAAGCATTTTTTTTTTGGGTCCTCCCCTTCCTCGACGTTAAGGATATACGGGGTTTTCCCGGGCCAGGGAGTGTGGGCGATGATTTAAAAGAGGCCTTGGCACCGGGACGCGAACTCGTGACTATTTTTATAACACATTTGTCATATATCAGGTTGCCGGGCAACGGTGGTGCTGTGCACGACGCGTTAGCCAATTCGGCCACCCCGCCCTAAATTTTCAAAAGCCGTTTTTGTTTTTTTTGGGTCCTCCCCTTCCTCGACGTTAAGGCTGTACGGGTTTTTCCCGGGCCAGGGGGTGTGGGCGGGGATTTAATTGACGCCTTGGCACCGGGACGCGAACTCGTGACTATTTTTATAACACATTTGTCATATATCAGGTTGCCGGGCAAATGGTGCTGTGCACAACGCGTTACCAATTCGGCCACCCCGCCCAAAATTTCCAAAAGCCATTTTCATTTTTTTGGGTTCTCCCCTTCCTCGACGTTAAGGCTGTACGGGGTTTTCCCGGGCCAGGGGGTGTGGGCGGGGATTTAATTGACGCCTTGGCACCGGGACGCGAACTCGTGACTATTTTTATAACACATTTGTCATATATCAGGTTGCCGGGCAAATGGTGCTGTGCACAACGCGTTAGCCAATTCGGCCACCCCGCCCAAAATTTCCAAAAGCCATTTTTGTTTTTTTTGGGTCCTCCCCTTCCTCGATGTTAAGGCTGTACGGGGTTTTCCCGGACCGGGGGGTGTGGGCGGGGATTTAATTGACGCTTTGGCACCGGGACGCGAACTCGTGACTATTTTTATAACACATTTGTCATATATCAGGTTGCCGGGCAACGGTGGTGCTGTGCACAACGCGTTAGCCAATTCGTCCACCCCGCCCACAATTTCCAAAAGCCGTTTTTGTTTTTTTTTGGTCCTCCCCTTCCTCGCCGTTAAGGCTGTACGGGGTTTTCCCGGGCCAGGGGGTGTGGGCGGGGATTTAAAAGACGCCTTGGCACCGGGACGCGAACTCGTGACTATTTTTATAACACATTTGTCATATATCAGGTTGCCGGGCAAATGGTGCTGTGCACAACGCGTTAGCCGATTCGGCCACCCCGCCCAAAATTTCCAAAAGTGATTTTTGTTTTTTTTGGGTTCTCCCCTTCCTCGACGTTAAGGCTGTACGGGGTTTTCCCGGGCCAGGGGGTGTGGGCGGGGATTTAATTGACGCCTTGGCACCGGGACGCGAACTCGTGACTATTTTTATAACACATTTGTCATATATCAGGTTGCCGGGCAAATGGTGCTGTGCACAACGCGTTAGCCAATTCGGCCAAACCGCCCAAAATTTCCAAAAGCCATTTTTTTTTTTTTTTTGGGTCCTCCCCTTCCTCGATGTTAAGGCTGTACGGGGTTTTCCCGGGCCGGGGGGTGTGGGCGGGGATTTAATTGACGCCTTGGCACCGGGACGCGAACTCGTGACTATTTTTATAACACATTTGTCATATATCAGGTTGCCGGGCAACGGTGGTGCTGTGCACAACGCGTTAGCCTATTCGTCCACACCGCCCACAAATTCCAAAAGCCGTTTTTGTTTTTTTTTGGTCCTCCCCTTCCTCGCCGTTAAGGCTGTACCGGGTTTTCCCGGGCCAGGGGGTGTGGGCGCGGATTTAAAAGACGCCTTGGCACTGGAACGCGAACTCGTGACTATTTTTATAACACATTTGTCATATATCAAGTTGCTGGGCAACGGTGGTGCTGTGCACAACGCGTTAGCCTATTCGTCCACCCCGCCCACAATTTCCAAAAGCCGTTTTTGTTTTTTTTTTGGTCCTCCCCTTCCTCGCCGTTAAGGCTGTACGGGGTTTTCCCGGGCCAGGGGGTGTGGGCGGGGATATAAAAGACGCCTTGGCACCGGGACGCCAACTCGTGACTATTTTTATAACGCATTTGTCATATATCAGGTTGCCGTGCACAACGCGTTAGCCTATTCGTCCACACCGCCCACTTCCAAACGCAGTTGATATTTGCTTGTATTCATGGTTTGTTTAATTGTCTGATCTAAAATGCACAACTCTAAAAGATATGAACCACTGTCATTCTCCCTCCACACTTCCGAAAAATGGGCGGGTTTTCTTTTGTAATTAAGTGAACGTGCGTAAGCATGTAAGTATGACCTACTTTTAGTCGCGTAAGTCCAACTTTGATTTATCTAAGTTCAAGGTCCAATGTTGATTTATGAATTAAAATGTTTCTGTCGGTCTTGAAAGATTCAAAGTGGATGGAGGAAGTAACTGTTCGAAGAAAAAAAAATTTAGCTCCAGATAATTTGAAGACCGCTAGAAATATTTAAATTTATAAATCAACGTTGTACCAAAATCACCTATGATGTAAAATTGTCGTCCAATTTTACGATTTTATTTGTCATGCTTTGAAGACACTGAAAATCACCAGATTTTGACTAAGAAAAAAAAACCACTTTTTCATTACTTTTCCAAAAAAATTACTTTTCCAATTCTAATACACTTTTATCAGTCTTATCCAAAAACGGAGTGAACAAAAGCCACCAAAATCACTTGGAAAGTGTTTTGGTAGTGCAGCCTACTCTATTTTACCACAGATCCTGAATAATCCCACGTGAAATTTGTTATTCATACACTTATTTCCCCATAAAATATATGGTGTTATAAGCGATGTGTGATTTTTTTCATTAAATACAATGACTAGACTATGTCATACAATGTGCAATAGAAAACATAAAATTAGCAGTAACAAAATTCTAAATATGCAAAAAGACAACTACAACATTCAAGTATATGTGTCTACACAAAAAAGCTAAAAATTAATTGAAACTAAATTAACACGGAATGAAAATGATTTTTTTTTTTTTTTACATTTACTAAAATATTACATTATTTCAGAAATGAAATATGTATAATTTGTATCGGTTTGTAGTTGAAACCTGGTCTGGGCACATTGTTCATGGACATATTTTTTAATAAAAATAAAACATATGAAATAAATAGTGTAAATAATCATTACTTGTGTTGTATATTTTTGTTAGCTTACATTAATGAAAATTTGCATATAAAATAGCTTTGGCGTGGTTTTCAGAATTGTCAAAATGTGTTATTTCTGAAATATTCGGCACTATCAAAATATAATGTGACTAACCTCAAACAAAGAATGAAATCAATATTAAAACTTTTTAAAAACTAAAGTATCGAAGTGATAAAAAATTACAATTACTGACAATATTAAAAAAAATGATAGGAGCAAATTTATATACATTTAAAATAATTATGTTTGGTTTGCACCGTGAAACTGATTCAGTTTTGGTATTTTAAGGAGAGACTCAATATTTCGTAAATATAAATATATAATAAATGTATAAATATATATAAAATAATAATAAATATTACCGCTTATATAGAAAATAAGAAACAAAATGAAATTGAAACTTAGTATGGAGATTAATAACTAATAAGAAGGGGTTATTTTGATAGTTGAAAACAGACCTACGATTGTAAACTGGAATTATATCTTCCATTTCGCAATGTTTTTATTACAAAATTTGCACTTTCAAATTTTATAATAAAAACTAAATAAATAAATAATATATAAGACAATAAGGCAGTGAAAAATACATAAGGTATAGGCATCTATTATTGACATGTTACCAATTATTGACACTTGTAATTTAAATTTGATAAAATAAGCGTTTAGGTTCATGTAGGATTTCAAACTTGGAGGCTTGTAAAAGGGACATTAATCATCCTTTGAAAGGTCTCCATGTTTGACAGCCTACATAAATCTAAACGCTTATTTAATGAAATTTAAGTTAAGAAGACAGAATTAACGTCAACACATTTGCTTGATGAGTTACAACGCAGTGGCAAATATAATGTCGAAATAAACAAAGAAAAAAGTTACAAGTGTCAATAATTGGTGCCTTTACCCTACTTCAATAAATGTATGCCCATTAAATATTTTTTAAGATTTAAGTCATTAATTTCATAAATTTATGATGGTATGTATTTATTTTTAACAAACATATTTTCATAGATTACATGAAATTTTAAAACGTTTCACTTGTAGAAGCATAAAATAAAATACAAATCAGACATTTTTATATGAAAAAAAAACCTGAATAACTTGTCTTTAATGTTTTACGATTTACTATATATATATATACTTATTACCTAAAGTACATGATAAAGTTGACATTAGGCTTCATGATGAGCACTTATGGTTTACCGAATTACCCTATATATTATGCGTAACACACACTTGGCCGTAATGGGGAGTGAATGTTTAATGTCCCGCCCAGTCGCGGCTATAAGTACTTCTCAAACTTTGTTCATGTTTTAACGAAAACCTGTTTGGAGATTTATTCCCGACAAGTGAGTTAAGTAAACGAAGCGGCGAGTTCTAAATGAATCCGTGGTCCATGCATATATCGTCGCTATGTAAAATACTCTCGCTACAACCCTTTTCCTATTTGCATAGTCACAGTTGAGCATTTCAATTACATGTTGGTCAACTCCCTCTCCTCTTGTCGACTACCGTTAAAACTCTTTTTTTGTAAATGAGTACTCGTTATCGATCGATTAATTCATATTGTACGATTATAATTCCCAGTTATGTTATAACAGGGTGTCCTGTAAGTAGAGAGAAATATTTATAGGAGTGATTATGGGCCTCAAGAGCAACAAAAAACTTCATATAAACAATTTCCCGATTTTACCAGGGAAGTAGAAAATTAAAGTTCATGTTTTTTTTTAAGTGTCACGTTTTTTATTGAATAGGAAGTAATAACTAAAAAACTATTCAATTTAAGTACCTAATTTTCTTCTCTGTATTCAAGACAAAGACCATTTGACGGGAACTTTTGAGCCGCTAAAGTAAGCTAAATTTTGTTTATAAAAATATAATGAATTATTCGCGATTTTTTTTTTATCGTGATCCAGCTGTACTACAGATACCCCAGTTTTAGAAAAACTTCTTCGTTTAATAAGCTTTATAATTTCATATTAATTAAGCTGAGGTTTACTACGCAAATATTTTAGATTCATCTCAAGTATTGTAATAAATGTTATTTTATATCCTATCACCTAAAATCTTCCCGTGCTTTCAGCAAAAATAATTACAATAAATTGTTGCTTTAGCTTTATTTAGCAGCTCAAAAGTTCCTTTTAAACGGTTTCAACCATGATAAACTCTATAATCATTTGAAGCAAATTTTGTCTAGTTTACAGTCACAATTTGTATAATTACTCATTAAGTTATCGCATCCTATTCAACAAAAAACTCCACAAAAAAAAAAACTTGGGTTTCCTACTTTTCCGCTGAAAATTGGTCCATTGTTTACATCAACTTTTTTGTAACTGTTGAGGTCCGCTATCACTCCAATAGACATTTCCCTCTAATTAATGGACCCCCTGCTTAACCAATAAAATAGAAATAGAAACAAAAATAATTTATATAAAAACAAATTCCCTTCAGTTGAACATAAACGTGCAAACAAAAAATAATAGATTCGGTATTAAAAATAATAATTTAATAATACAAAAATAATAACAATAATATAACAAAAAATTATAATTTTAAACAAAAAAAAAAAAAAAGTAATTTTCGGACTAACTGACCTGAAACAATAAATTAAGGGATACACTTTTGGAAAAGTTTCATTTTAACTATTTTGATGAAACATTTTAGGTGAAAATTTTTACATGAAAGAATTTTGGCAATACAAAAATTATTTAATAAAAAAAAATAATAACAGTCAGCCCTACAGGAAGTATATTCTACATGCAGCAGTCAATGACAGATGCCGTCTATGTAAAGCCATAAATGAATCGACTCATGTTACCTCTGCCTGCCTGTCATTAGAAGGTAAAGAATACCTAGCGAGACATAATAATGCTTCAAAAATCGTCCATCAGGCTCTGGCACAAAAATACAAATTAATAACAGACCATCAGCCTTTTTATAGATATCATCTGCAGGTATATTAGAAAAATGGAATGCCAAGCTATACTGGGATCAAACTATGATAACTCACCATAGTATTCCCCTCAACAGACCAGATATACTACTCGTTGACAAAGAAAGAAAGAAAACCATCACTGTCGAAGTTGGAGTTCATACTGATGATAATGTAGCTAAAACATTAAGTGAAAAAATTCGGAAGTATCAAGAGCTATGCGAGTAATTAAGGTGGTTATACCAGCTGGTGGAAGTAAAATTAGTACCCATTATTGCATCCAACAATGGCCTGATTCCTGAAGAGACTCTAAAATCAATGAATGTACTTGGATTAAGCTGGGAACTTCAGGAAATACAGAAAGCGGTAATGCTGGGAACCACCAGCATTGTTCGAAATTGATTTAATATTTCAAATTAAATATTCAATGAACTGTACCCTTGACCTCGGTCCGGATCAGTGAATTGATCCGTCGTAAATCTGAGAAAAAAAAAAAAGACTAAATGACCTTAAACAAGGCATAGACTATTTGAAAAGTTTCATTTTAACTATTATAACTACGATATTTAATAACTTTATAATTTAGAATCGATTCCTATTTTTAGTTGTAAAATTGGTAAGTAAATTTTCCCTTTCCATTCAACGAAACATTAATTAAAGTCGGCGTTTCCTTAAGATCAGAAAACCAAATATTTTAAACCGAATATTTTTATTAATATATTCATATTGAATTTATCGTTGTTACTCGATTATAAGATTTATTTCTCTTCATTTCCTGCGATATAAACATAATTAATTAAAATATGAATTTCCCAAGAATATTTATTATTTGCAAAAGGACATTGTGCAATTTTATTAGCCACAGTCACATTTATTTTATTTGTCAGTAAAATGTATTGCTTTAATGTACCAATGTAACTTTATATGAAATATTATATAGGCTATATAAAATCTGCTGCTCTGTGTCAAACGTGCCCTCAACGGCCTGAACTAATTTCTATCTTATTTTTTTTCTTTCTCCTTAACCATTCCTGCAATGCGAACCTCTATAAACGCGAACCAATTACCTACATATTTATTTATTACTAACTCTACATCGTCAAATGTAGTTTTTTACATTTTATTGTAATAATTGATAATTTTTTATTTCTATCTCAAAAAGTTTAAAAGTTGTATATGTATATATATGATGTTATTAGTTTTTATAATAAGTCATTTATATATTGTATTTTGTAATAAAGAAATTCCTGGGGGCTAGAAAAAAAAAAAAAATTATAATAAGTTGTTTGATAATGCTATGTTAAGCGTTCCACATGCTTTTGCTGTTTTTTTGTCTTTTCAACTTAATATCCCAGTAATTTTCAATTCATTAATGGATTAATTTTTAATCCAATTGTAGAACCCCCTAAATATCTCTTTGTAAGAAGATTCCGAAATCTTCTTCTTTCAAGACCCATTGGAGGATTATCAGGAATCGAGGAGTAAGCAAGTGGGTTTGGATCGTAGGTGATACGATATCTCTTTGTCCGTATTATCGCACTCAGTCTGATTGATATTTGGATAAAATATAACCCAACTATTTCGCCATATGGCCGCCGACAAAAATATTGTATAGCCTACACTTGTCACATTCTGTGTATAGGATCCTTAATAGAAAAAAAAAATCTGGTGTATCCACTGACACGACTTTCCTACCTGTTTTAGAAACGTTTTTATATCTTTACATATGTCCATTAAGAAAAAAAGTGCGATTTATTAGATAATCTAAAGCAATGAAAAACGGCTTGAGGTAGATACCCTCTAATATTGCTGATCAAAAACTTTTTGTCATAGCCTAAATTTGTCACACAATAATTTCTATTAAAAGTGAAGCTTGTGTGGTCCGGGCAACAGATTTTCTTACATTCACTTATTTATCTTTTTTCTCCCTCATTCACCACTTTATGACACCAGGATATGAACCCGTAATTTTACATTGGAAATTGAATAGGTTTAACTTCGTTAATAGTTGTCAAAAATGAACTATTTTCACATAGTTTTGTAGGGAATTTCATTACCTTTCAAAAAACAGACGGCGTTTTTCGGGACTGACCCGACCACAATACTTTCCATAACTAGTACATGTAGGAAAGTAATGAATTATAACATGTGTAGAAAATAAAAAACGCTGTATCATCGCTAATACTGATTCGATTTCGATGATTTTTTTTTGTTTCGTTAGTAATTTAATTACCTTTTGAAATTTTTATTATAAATTTTACCATAGAATATATACTTAACGAGTTAAGCCCCAAAACATTTTTCTTTTCTGTATAACTTTTTTCCCTGAATTTTATCGAGAATTTGAAACATGTACGGAAATTGAAAGAACAATTATTAGAACATTATAGGAAAGTTTCACCAAAATTGTCCGGTTTTGCGCTATAGAAAAACATGTTTTTGATTTGTTGCGCGGCCACCTTTTCGCATTGAGCATCCAATTTCTGTCCCATGCATCAGTAGTCAAAACCCTACAAAATAAAAAAAGAAGCAACAAAATCGGTTCACTGGTTCCCGAGAAAAACTTGGCACACACAGACAGACCAATGGCTAAAAATGTGTTTTTCGGACTCAATGGGCTCTGAAACGTATAGATCCGTCAAAAACCGCTTATCGGAAATCTTACCAAATCGAAATACTTTCCTTACCTAGTAAAGGTGGGAAAAATAAAATTTGTCTTAATAATGTCATGGTTTATGAAATATATATATATGTTTTTCTCTCAGTACTTAGAATGGTATAAGAACAATATTGATGTTGCATAAATATCCCTACACAATAATTACATGTAATACATATCGAGCGGGGTAGGAACAGAATAACTTGACTAGTATTAATCCACCCTTAACAAATACTGTTCTCCCTTACCAGTTGGCAAAAAAATGGGTTTCATTAGGTTAAGTGATATGACAGATGCATTCATAGTATAACCAGATTTTATAAAAAATTATATAAAATTTGGCTTCTCAATCTTCTAAGTTTTTTTTATAGTATTATTTGAAACTAATGAAGGTTAATTTAAAAAGCGAATAATCAGATCTACAATAGAAATAGAAATTAAATGACCTATTAAATGACCTATAATATGTTACTCCATTTTATTATATCATAACCTGTTTATGTGAATTTAATAAGAAGGGATGTAAGCAGTAATATCTATTCTTTTTTAAAGTTCTTAAAACTAAAAGGTATTCTACAAAGG